CTGTTACCGATGTGGTTGTACAGTCAGATCCAGAGGCAGTTCAGAAGGGGAACTTGCACAGGGGCTGAGAGCAGAGCAGCAAAATAAGAAAGGCAGCATCTTATAAAAAGATAGGTATCAAACCAGACCTGAATACGCTTCAATCATGCTCTTGCACTTCCTTCTGTCCTTGGTTTGAACTTCTGCAGAAGCCTCAACACTGGGTCACCGATTTAAGCTTAAAAGGGTTTATTTTTTGCAGACTGTACCTTGGCAATCAGGTGATGGCAGCTTGTGAGGAAGTTGGCAAAGAATAAAACATGATATGACACTTTATTCATACCCATAAAAAAAGGGCATAAAGGACACACAGGGAAAGAGGCCAAAGGCTTCAAATCCTTTTGGAGGCGTGATCCTGAACTGAGAAGATTCAAATCTTCTCAGACACAGGTACAATCAGCAAATGACACCTGATGGTCAAGCAGGAGGAGGTCAAAGCTTTGCAGATGATCCACCATCACCAGCAGAAGGAAAAAAAGGGAAAATGAGGGGTATTTTTGGCACTAAAGGTACTATTATACTAGAGCTTGGATGCTGTTATGTCCTAGGGGAAGCTACGCTTGCAGCTGATGGTTCCAGGCTGGCTCTGCTCCTGGGACCTGGAGACTCGCAGTGTACTCCGCTCACAAACACAATCCAGTGCCTCCAACTCGCATCAATATTTATCATTTTACAGGCGCAATTAYAAGTGCTCTCACACTCCCGTGCATGTGTTACTGCTCTGAAATTGCACTTTTTTCTCCTTTTATAATCACCTATCTATGGCACAGCTACAAGCGGTGCAGAGTGAAACCCGGTCTCCATCACATAAAGTTCTCCCAAGCGAAGCAACATACCCCGACCTCTCCTGAACATCAGGGGCTGCACGTCACCATCGACTTCACCAAGGAAAATATTCATTCATCACCGGCGACACAAGACTAAAACCAGTCCCAAGTGCATATTTGTCATTCTGAGCAGGTCACCACAGCAGCAGCATTTGGACTCAGTCCTAACGAACCAAAGCAACGCTGCCTTGCACCAAACATGGAACCACCTATGGTGTTTGCAGTCCCACGTACGTGATCCTTTCCTGGCAAGAATTAATTTCACAGTTATTTCTATGCTGGCATAAACCAACATTGCTCCTGAAAGATCATCACTCTTCCTTATTCTTGCAAATGTTTATTCATTTCTGTCCTGTTTAAAKAGCTGTCAGTCGTTCAGACAGCCCTGCAGCTGAGAGCAGAATGAGCTTTCATGGGATTGCATTCCTTCGAACTCCTTCATGGGCCAGGCTCCCCAAAAGCCCACGTGGGYATGACTGCTACCACCCTGAACTCAYCCAATTTGCACATCTTGCAACGCCAAACCTCTGGGGCCCACGTCTGACAGCAAGTTCAAGCTCTCTTTCCTGCTTTACTAAGCACAAGTTGACTGGAGCATCTATCTTATGAGGGAAGATTGAGTGAGCAGGGYCTGACCTGCTGGAGAGCAGCTCCGCAGAGAGGGACCTGGGAGTCCTGGGGACACCAAGGTGCCCATGAGGCTGCAGGRTCCTCATGGCCAAGGAGGCCAATGGGCTCCTGGCTGCATCTGGAGGCCGTCGGCAGCAGGGCASGGAGGGGATCCTGCCCCTCTGCTCCGCTCTGGGGAGGCCAAAGCTGGAGCCTTGGGGGCAGCTCTGGGCTCCCCAGGACAAGGGGCACGTGGAGCTGCTGGAGAGGGGCCAGCGCAGAGCGACAGGGCTGAGGAAGGGCCTGGAGCAGCTCTCGTGTGAGGAGAGCCCGAGCGAGCGGGGCCTGTTGAGGCTGGAGAAGAGGAGGCCGAGAGGGGACCTGGTCAGCGTGTGCAAGCACCCGAGGGGAGGATGGAGGCAGGAAGGGGCCAAGCTCTTGTGGGTGGTGGCCAGGGGCAGGACAAGGGGCAGTGGGTGCAGGTTGGAGGCCGGGCAGCTCCATGTGGCCGTGGGGAAGAACTTGTTTGGTGGGAGGGTGCCCGAGCCCTGGTTGAGGCTGCCCAGGGAGGCTGCGGAGGCTCCTGCTCTGGAGACCTTCCCAMYGCRCCKGGATGGAGCGGGTGCCCCGTGCTCTGGGTGTCCCTGCTGGAGCAGAGGCTGGGACTGGGTGATCCCTAGAGGTCCCTGCCAACCTCCACCATTTGTGGATCCTGGGATTCACGTTGCAAAACCATTCACGACAGCTACATATTGTAAAACAGAAGGAAAAAATGTAAAATTATAATCTGCTTAAATGAGGTATTAAAAAAAAAAAAAGAAAAAAACCCACAGATACGGCTGCATTCAGATCAAATGCCACTAAATAAGACCTAGGTTTACAAAAACCAAAATGATTAAAGGTAATTGAAGACGAGAAAGGAGCATGGAGCAAAAGACATGCATCTCATTGTATAAAAGTAAATAATCTCTTAGCTTTGCCACATTCCAAGACATAAGACAACTCWATCTTCCCATACTGATGAATACAGCGAAGCATTTTAAAAATCCTGGACTTAACATAAATGAACATATTTCCTTTCTATAATATGTAATACAACTGTATTATAGCAGGTAAAACATACCAGAATCACAATTCCAGTCAGCCTATGAAAACAGGAACTGTGCTGTTTAGAAAGGGTTTTAATACCCTTTAAAATAAATACCATTTTCCTRCTGATGCTACCTAGATGTAGAATTTTAAAAGTATATTAGATACAGTCTACATTTCTTTATGTATTTCTATATACTTAGAAATTCTATTTATAAAATTTATTTAATTATTTTATATTTATAAAAATTTTCTATTTTCAATAGCTGGTTCATAACTGGCAATAGCTCTTCAACACTGACTCTGTAGTCAGTGATTTCATCTCTAATCCAGTTACCTTCCCCTTTTTAAGAGGAATTTCATCTGCTGCTTTCTTGCCTKGTTATCCCCAAGTCATCAAATTCTCACCATACTTTTTGGTCAGAGGCTTKGCATTTGCTCACACTCAACAATGTTGGATCACCAAGTGATCCCCTTGCTCTTCAGTTCCTTTCCTGTACCATTTCTGGTTTTTTTTTTGTGCTAAATAATCATTTTGTCAGTATTTAAACAGCTTGGTTCCCCTGCCCATTTCAGAAGGCAAAGACCACTAAGAAATCCAGCAGATCTTTCAGCTTGAGACGATGCCTCAGACCTGTTCCTCCCTTTGCTCTGGACACTTGCACTCTTGCAGGGACCTGTTTGTGCTCCAGGTATTTTTGCTCATGAAAATATGACATTTTTGCATTCTCAGAGAACATATTTGTTGCTATTCAATCTAGAAACACCAATGTCTGGAAACACGCCATAGATGCAGGAGAAGAAACCTGGAAAGTTGCCCTCCTCTTCCAAAGGTCTTTGGCTCAATGCAAGTATTTGCCGTTTAGGTTCTTGGTAGACCACAGGGCTCTACAGATATGCTGATGCAGATGGATTTCCACAAGCAAAACACCATTCCCGCCAAGCACAACTTCAAAACAAGTTGGGAAGACAGCCAAGCCAGCAGTGACCAGCCCRGTGGCTCAGCAATAGCAACCTGGAGATGGCTACAAAAGAGAGGACTGGACAAGACGGGACCTCCCAACAACCATTTGTTGATGCAAAAGATCATCAGCTTTAGCAACAGGCACCAACGCAACTAAACATCTATGGACAACCTCAATTATGTCAGAAGAACGGCACCACCACGTCAACCACAYGGTCTCTGGTTGTATTTTTCATTTTTTCAAGAGTGATTCATAGTTTGATGTTTAATTACAACACAAAAGAAACACTCTTAGGAACCAGAATACAACTACTGGTTCCGAACTTCCCAACATGGAAATCCAGCACCATCCAAAAGACCACGGGAACTCAAAGTTGCCAAGATGCTGCAGACCTGGACACCTGCAGAGCTCGGTCCATGTCCCACCCAAAATGCAGAGGACACCAAGAAACAGGATCACAGTCCAAGCAACACTTGACTGCAATGCACTTTTACTGCTCTTATTTTAGCCAAATGCATCAGATTCCTTTAGCTGTTAATGTATATTTTTTCCTTAGAGCATATATAAGCACATATATATACCCMGCATATAAATAAACAGTGTTTTAATGTGCCATGCTTGGTTCCAAGGGCACATAAATATGAATTTACAAAACATGTTTTTAAAGGAAAATTAAAGACTAAGTTGTTGTGCTGATCTCATCAATCAGAAAAAAGTTTGCAGATAGTGAATAAAAAAAAAATTTGAATATATCAATATATGAAATATAACTATGTAAATCGTGAATTAGCTTTAGGTAGCTGATTTTACAGTTTATCCATAACATCCACCCCAAGTTACAGAAAGCATGTATATTTAAGTAGTTAAACAGTGTTAAATAGTAGTTAAATAAACTAAGTAGTTAACTACTTAACTAAGTAGTTAAATAGTAGTTAAATAAATAAAGTATATTTAAGTAGTTCAGGAGTTCTAGAATGATACTGCACACACAGTGAGCGCTTATATTGAATCTTAAGGACATCATTTCTTATGAGTTCAATTATCTGCTGCCAATCTGACTCTGTGAGCAGGTCTGTGTGATTTGCCATGATTTGCAGACTTTGGAAGCAACACATTTAATGGTCACGTTTTCATTAACTATATCATAAATAAATATTCAGATAGCTAGATATTAAAAAAATAGTGGATGTGCTATCAAACAAAGAAAACATCCCCGGCAAATTTGCTGTCAACTTCTTCAGGAAGCTACAGGTCTTAGTTTTACCACGTAATTCCTTTCTCTAAGTGCTCTTTTCTGCAAAAAATGAACCAAAATCACCATGACTGCTCAGCACGGGGCTCGATAATTGCCCAATATCCTGCCCTCCATGTCTTGCAGTACATTGGAAAAGATAATATTGCAAAATGAGCTTCCCAGATTTTCCCAGATTTTCCCATTTTGCAATTCCCATGAGCAAATTAGCTTCCTTACCTTCATAATGTTTACTAGGTCTGTCTGATAATAGCGGTCTTGGTGCGCGTTGGCAGCGGCTAAGGTGAGCAGGTAGTCATTCCTGGCATGGATAGCCTTGGAATTGCACTCGGATCGGCGGGCTTTTAACTGCAACAAGAAGTCTYGATGTTAAAAGGTAAGTACCAACACAAAAGCAAATGTCTAAACATATATTAATAGGAAATTAGCTGGCATATGGGTATGCACTAATAGAGCCGACGCTTGTAAGGATTAATGGCTCAATGTCTCTGTTGATGCTACGTTGGAAGTTTAAGAAGATAATTTCAGGAAGTGAAGATTTAATAATTTAAGGTAGTTTAAGAAGGTAATTTCACAGGCGGCCTTGCAAGAACAGCTGTAATTCCCAGTAGAAAAAGGTTCCTTGTAAATTCAGTCATATGTGAGGCTGCAYTCGGAATGGGTTTATCAATCATTTTGCCTTCTAAAATGTTGGCCACCTCTAGACTCCCGACAGCTTCTGTTATATGTGACATGGAAGGGGCTTCAAAGCAGGACTATAAGCAACAGAAGTTATTCTACCACTCACCTTTACACTTGCCTTCTGCAAGCTTATTCTTGACTGGAAAAGACTAAGTTTGGACCTGAAATACAAATGAACAGACAGGTTGTCTCATATCTTCAGTAGAAATCCAAGATTAACAGCCCATTGCATTTCACTTCTGCAAAATTTAACTGAGATAACTTTTTAGGCCAAAAATGGTATTTGCATCATTTCAAGGAAAGGCTGAAGGATCAAGATAGCTACTACTGAAAAAAGAAAACTCTAAGGACCTTCCTCACATGTTCTCCAATCTCTTGCAGAGTTTTGGACTACGTTTAAACACATCACGAAGAGGATCTGGGGTGACAGCAGAAACACAAGTTGTTTTGGTGTTTGATGGATTTGGAGATAACTCACAGGAGACAAAAATGCTGCAAACGTGGCCTGCTGGGTGTTCCATGGATCACCAGGAATTCTGCTCCAGAAAACTGGAAGAATTTTCCAGAGTTTTCCATAGAAAAGATCTATGAATGTTTTAAAAAGCAGAATTGGCCTCATTTTCACATCTGGACCAATGCAAGAGAAATTAGATGACCTCTCTAATAGCGATTTGAAAGACAGAGGTTTAGAAAGGAGGGAAGGAAACAAAATTAATAAAATTAATAAAAACTTGAGTTCTTTATAATTGGGCAGCCTATAAMAAAGAGAACAGAAAGCCTTAGCAATACAGAAAATACAAGCAATGATTTTATCCTGACTTTATCAGATTCCCCTAAAAGGAAATAAGTGTCTTTCTTYGGAGCCCAAGAAGGTATTTAATAATTGGAGGTGTTTCCATCCTTTATGGACGAGGATCCAATACCTGGATTGTCAAACTGAGCAAAACCAGCATAAAAAGTGTTATCTGCTAATACTGTAAAACACATTTTCAAACAGGTATCCCATGGATAACAAAAGTGGAGGATAAGCTGGAAGACACAGTGAAGACCAGGTCTCGAAGGCTGCCGGCTTCCAAAATTCAGGGAAAAATAGAAATCTACAGGAAAATGTAATTTGCAGGGATACTCTGTGACCCTGCAGGAATTTCAGTTCCTCTGCATGGGTTTGTCCTTTCCCTTCTCATAAGAAGCTTTTAAATAAATAAGTAAATAAATAAGTAAATAAGTAAGTAAATAATAAATAAATAAATGGGGTAGAGGCACAAATTAACCGAAACTTTCTGTATTTTCTGCGTAGGAAAAGTTTAATGCAGAGCGTGTTGCCAGAAGGATGAGTGCCACCATTTGCTAGCACCTACTCTTTTATGCAGGGCTTTCCTATCTTCTTGATTTTGGTGGGGTATATGGTATATTTTGAATATTCACRGTGTGAAAACTGTCTAAATCATATGATTTTCACTTAAAAAAAATCTCGCCACAAATATTTTGGATGCTTTTCAAGAGAGAAGGGAAAAAAAGGATAAAAAGCAAAAGCAGAGAATGGAAGTGTAGAACTTGTTGCTTGTATTTTTTCCTAATATAACCACTATTAATAAAGGGAAGGAGGCAGTGCAGCACAAATAGAGCAACCAGATTTTTCAGCTGGTTTCCAGACTTTGTGGAAACCTGTGTCCTGTTGCCCCAGCCCCTCAAGGTGGATTGATACCAAAATTAAGATGTGTGGAGAGAGCAAAAAAAAGGGTCCTTTAAGGAGTGCCAGGTCACACATTATCCTTTAAAAAGGAGGAATTAAAGCACTTAGATTCGCTCTTGTTTTTTCTACAGAAGCCATTCGAAATAAATTACACAACAGGATAAAAGCATGCTTGAAATGCTTACAAAAATGTACATAAACAAAGGGGAAAATTGGCAAAAGCTTATTCAGAGCCATTATCTTTCTTCTAGAAGAATACCAAGTGTAAAAACTAAGACAAATACAAATCYGCTTTATACGCGCACCATTATTTATACATATGCTATTATAAAAACATACTTGGCCTCAATATCAGCTTTCTCCCGCACTGCTTGGGCCATCTGTTCAGTCTCAAAATATTTCTTTTTGCCCTTAGCTAAGTCTTTTACTGTCTCTTGTAATTCAGCTTGGATCCTTGTCAACTGGTCCACACACTGCAAGAAAAAGCATTCGGGAAACAAAACATTACTTTTTATTATTAAATGTATACATATATTTGCATCTAACTAATAGGAGCATTATAATTTTACTGCTCATCATTAAACTTTATATAGAGCAATGTGGTCTGCAAGAGACTCCAGGTCAGTTCTTCATGTCTTGCTTTTTAAATCCRAGCAGAACATAAAAGCATTTTTCTTCCTTTCAATAGCTCTTTAACCACCCCAAATCAAGGTTAAGTCACAAATTCAACATAAATGTTCTGAATGTTTTTGGGGAGAGCAGTAGGTTGCAAAAAGTGGAAGGCAGGAAGGAAAAACCCAAATTTGCGACACCAAAATGCTTCATCTTCCCTTCTCCAAAACTGAAGATCAAATGTACTATGCAAAACAAAATGAGAACAATCTGTTAAATATTAAGTGTTTTTTTTAAGCTGCATTTTGAGCGTTTTCCAACAGTTAGGACTGCATCAGAAATGAGAGTCATTCACAAAGATTCATTGAGAGATTTGCTTTCTGTTACCCAAACTAGTTTAAGCAGATATGAGTAAAATTTCRAAGCATTTGTATTTTAAATTTTAAAGCATTAAATTTTAAAGCATTTAAAGCATAAAACACCACCTATGTTGTAGGTGTTATGGGCTGACTGTGGTCAATCACGGCTCCAAGTAATATTGAGAAGCAGGGCCTAAACTTAGGGACAGAAGCAAATCTGCCTTGCTGTCCTCCCAGGATCAGTGCCAGGGTCCCACGTCCTCTCCTGCATCCGCAAAAAGGCTATTTTGCTCCCTCGGTGTCCCAGATGCTCCCTGGAAATGAAGCCCTCAGCAAAATACAACAAGGTTGCCTGAAACCAGCCCATTTAAGTATTAAAAAGGGCTCAGAAAAATGAATTTGATGCAAAGTTCTCCCGTGCTGGCAAGYTGAGACACTAAAGGCTCGGAGAAAGGCTTGGAAAATGAATCCRACATCTCATCAATAGCAACTTAATCCCTGCTGCAATCCTGGAAGAGATGCTGCTTCCAAGAGAAACCCCAGTTTAGTTGGGCAGCCCCATCCAAGCACGAGTATTTGGACACTACAACTGTTCTAGTGCAGTTAAAAACACTTTACTTATTAATTTCGGTATTTATATATTGAAATTTCCAGATGGTTTTATCTGGTTGGGGTCCTCACAATTATTTTGGAGTGGGAAATCCAAAGGAATGGGTGATGGCTTGCATGGAATGAAAACTTAAGTGTGTTTCAGAGGAAAACTAAGGCTATCAGTGGGAATTGATTCCAAGGTGTAGAAGAAACACATGCTCTTAGGAAATGCCCTACTCCAAGGACTGCACTGATAACTGCAATAATTTGTTCTGCTGATGGGCAAGAGAAAAAGAATCCGTGTTATTTCTGCAGACTTAAAACGAATCCCCCTCTCCCCTTGGAGCAGGCGGCCAGAAATTCTTCAAATTGTCAATATTTGGTGAAGCACAAAACTGGAGGTTATTGACCACGCAAAGATCCCGTAAATGGCAACTGCATCTGCCGGGAGGATGAAGCAAGAACAAAGCGAAAGCAAAGTTGCTCTTTTGAGCAAACCAACCCAAAATGGTCCTTTCTTGTGCCGTTTACCTTGAATGCAATATTCAAGCTTCCTCAGATGAAATGCAGAGCAAAAAGTCATTTTTTTWATTAAATTATTATTTTATATTAGCAAATGCTTAATGAAAAGGTCCAGCAGGAGGATTTCTGACTACCCCTAACATTTGGGGTGCTTATAGAGTGTGTCCCATCAGCATTTCTCTCCTGGCTTTCTCTCCACACCAGTTTCCTTTCATAYGAGCAGCAGAGTGAGTGTTTCAGAAAACGGGTCTCAAAAACTTCTGAAAAGGTCTGCACACAACCAGGATTTTCTGTAAACTCTGCTCATTCTTTACCACTGCAAAAGGGTGAGCAAAACAAGTAAGGAAACCAAAGAAACCACAACTACCTTTTTCAATTGCTGTTCCTTAAAGCACCTTACGGTCCTGGCTGGTTCTGAAATTAAGTTTTTATAGTTCTCGCAGATATTGAGCCGAGATTGGGCCACCTGCATGGTGCCTTCCAGGAGTGACTTCCAAACGGAGTACATGCTCCTGAAAAAAACAGGAAGAAAGGTTGTGGGAAGAGAGAAAGAAAGGCCACACATTATGACTGGAAACGTGTGATGTTATATGTAAGAGTGGCATATATTTTTCTAAAGATCACGCTTAAGAATATCAAACAAAATCCAGATTCACTTATGCTGCTCTCAGGCAATATTTGCCCTTTTATCAAACCTTGATATTCCACGAAACCTAAAAAAATCCCTTTTTCTCCCTGTTCTGTGATTCAAATTCTTAGCAAACATTTCAGAGTGAAAGTGTTGATTTTTTTTCCCATCTTCCTACATTATTCAAGTCATAAGACGTCTACTTAAGCCTCCTGCACAAATCTAGAGGGAACCAAGGCTTCAGTTTTAAGTGACAGCACTTGTGCAACACAGAAAAAATAATCCTTTTAAGTGCAGAAGGGAGCTGTTCCCTAGAAAAATTATACAAATTGAAAGTCTAAGGACAGCTATTTCAAGATATCCAACTGCTAAATCACCTGTAATCACTTCGCTCATCCGCTTTTATTCCAAGCCAGTCCTTCTTTAAGTATTGGCTAGCCAGCTTCTGGATGCTCTAGTGGAAAAAAGACAGAAAAAAAATATATTAAAAATGAGAGGCACCTAAAAAAGACATTTTTGCTCTGTTATTAAATGATAATCTGACAGATAAAGAAGAAATCAAATAGAGTTTTCAGGAGCTGCTGCAATACAGGTATTTTGGCATTCCATAGGCGTCGGTAAACTTTAGGCTGAATGTAACCTTTTTTCCCCTTTTTTTTTGCATAAGATGCTTCTTGTTCTTGGCTCAACGACCCTTTCTGTTTTGCTGGGCTGGAACAAAGCGGGTCCCTGTGCGGCTCAAGCCGGGGAGGCAACTGCTTGTTTAACCCCTGGCTCCGCGCGCGGCGCGAAGCRGCTCCCCGGGGTCGGGGGCAGCTTCCATTTATTTTTCTTACAAATSTGAACCCCCAATTCTCACCAAATCCACCTCTGCCAATCGCTTTGAGACTAAAGCTCCATTTGATGATATTTTCTAGTCTTTGCAGCATTAAAGCTCTCAAAATCCTTGCAAAAACYGTGAGACGCCGACGACGTCCGAGGCTCCTCGTTCCTGTCACCGGTGGCACAGAGCAAGGTAGAGGCCATCCGATGAAACCCCAAATTTTGGCAAGCCTCCARAGGACAAATTGAGTGTATTCTTTTCAATATTAACATCTCTCCTCCCTCCGAAGCAGCATCTTGCATCAATTCAATCATTTCTCTTTTTTGTGCAGCAGGAATTACCAGCTTTTTGTGTATTTACTCACCWTACAAATAAATCTACCTCTTGCTCATGTTTTCTCATCTACCTCATGTTTTCTTTCCCCCTCCAGGTAAGTGGGGTGATTTTCTGGCCTSAACATCAAGATTTTCTAACGTGGGAAACGTTACACATTGACTAATGGCAGAAAACCTTAAAAATCCCATTTTTGCTTCCCTGAGAGTGAGACTGGCTGAGCAGGAAGAGAAACGGCCATATAGAAAGAATCCTCCAAAAAAGCATGCACAGACATATATCTATATTTATCCCATTCCATAYAGATATATGTGCTCATGCCATTCCATATAGATATACGTATTTATGCCACATAACCTGCTCCAACCTCCAGTTTATTAATGATAGTATCGACTACTAGCAGATTAAGGACAAACCCTACGAAACCTCCATTCATTTTAACACAGAGCTGCTTGATAGCTYCTCTTTCAGCTTCTTTTTCCAGACATTTTGCAGCCAGAAAAACGTAGTTTTATCCAGAACTGCATTTCCCTAACTTGTGTTTTAGAGTACTGCATGAAAGCATCAATATTTTTCCTAAATTAAGACTTCTAGAACCTTTTTTCTGTGCAGGCCTGTTACCTACAAGAGCAAAAAGATACAGCAAAAATGAAAAGCTACATCAAATAGGTGCTGTTTAGCTTCACCTTTCTATTTGTTGCTTTTCCAGGAATTTTAATTTTAATTAACCCAAAGCAAATATAATTTCTTAGCTCTTCCTCTCGTGGCAGTTTGGTTCCTTTCTCATCCTATCACATCTCACCCTTTGCTCAAGAGTTTTCCAAGCCAGTCGGTCGCTCACGGCTTGAAGATAGGAAATTATTTGAGGGTAAATTCCCCCAAGTTGGGTCGTCGGCACCTAGAGCCCATTCAGACTCATTTGATTCATCACAATAACCACCAATCTGCTCTAACCTGCTCTTGCATCAGGCCAAGATCTCAATGGAGAGATGTCAACGTAGAGGTCAACGGAAGCCAAGCTCCTCACAACACTCTTCTTCATCGGGCAAATAATAAATGCTGAAGGTTGTCTGCACTTTTAGATGATTTCCATAAATTTTAAGTCCATAATTTAAAAGTAAAAGTGGTTCTTACTGGGTTTGAAACTGTTTGCTTCCTCTCTACACTGTCCTGTGCTTCGGAGTCTTCCTCATGTAGGACATGGAGACACAGGTTTTGGCTCCACAGACTATGAGTGTGGCTCTGACTGACCCTATTTCCCTACCTAAGATGCAATTGTAGAAAGGTGCAAAAGGTGAGTGGAAATGGAAAAGCAAAGGCAGGAAAAATCTGAAAATCACTGAAAAATCTGAAAATTACGATGGCAAAAGGACAAACTGGACTGTTCATCCACAGCGACAGATTAAACAAAGCCAGACCCATTATCACCATTCACAGAGACCCCAACAGAGAGGGTTTTAAGAAACGTGTTTGAAAACATATGTGACATGGAGAGTATGAACCACTTGGGGAAGTGCAATTGTGGAAAATTCCACAGATCTTTTATTTTTACTTCTCTTTCTTAATCACCAGGTTATAAAACACGTGCAGCTGGATTGCGGTGCGACGGAATGGAGCGCCCGGGAAGAATTAAACAAATGGAAAAGTCAAATTATGACTGGCTTTAAAAGGCTGCAAATCGCAGAGAGGTTAAAATAGTCTAAACCCCACCCTGTAGTCACTGTTTTAAGGCCATTGATGAGATCTAATATTATGAACTGCGTTTAAGAACTGGAATAAAATAGATAAATGCAGAAAAAGAATATAATTAAGAATTGTAGCTTATGAGACTCAGGAGAACAGACTGAGAGGCTGATGCCATTGGTTAAAATTAAACATTACTGTTATCATTAAGAAAGCCACAGATTAAAGATATGCAGCACTATGCCACAAATGGATGCACTTATTAAAAAATAGAGAGATTAACATAAAAAACAATGGTGAAGAGAAGTTTAGCATGATGTTTCAGCCAAAATATCTATTAGGAATTGCCCTTGAAAGCATTTCTAATTCAGGGACCACATTTGGGATAATTTAATACTGCGGGMGAGCCAGGAACCATCCAGCGCAGCATGAAGTGTCGCAGGGGGCAAAAGGGGCAAAAAATGAGAATTAGAATAAAACGTGACCATTATTCAGCTCAAGGAGGGATTCAAAGAAATGTGGATAACCTCAAAGAMGATCCCAGAGAGATTTCTATAAAAACAGAGGAGTTTAATTCTGCTGAGCGGGGTTCACACGCTTCAATCAAGAGCCACAGCAGCATCTCCGCTGTTCAAGTGCCTTGTAAAAGTGCACTCCGTAAAATGAGTGAATAATTACAGCATTTGCAGATAAATAATATCTGTATTTGTCGATATAAACCAGTTTTCTGGTAAAATTCCTGRCCTCACAGCATGTACAGACCTTTATAGATTGATTAACTTATGTATTGACTGCACCGCGATGCCCTGCGGGACGTTCTGTGTCTTCRGGAAAAGGTGCCACTTGCCAACAATACATGCTCATCCAAGTAAATAAATTGGGCTATCAGAATAAATAAATGGGACTTACATCTATTTATTGTTTGTCATGCAAGAAGATGGACTTGCCAGCTCTAATCTTAATGCCAACTGTCTCACGTGAGGTCCTTACTAAAATATTCCATGTACCACCACTGTGGAACTTGTATTTGTTCCCTTTGAGGTTACTTTGAATTAGCTCAAAAGCAGGGCARGATTGGAAGTGTTTAGGCTAGTAAGGCAGGAATGCCATCTGTGAGAATGCAGTTTTGGAATATTCAGCCTAGGAAATAGGAGTATTTTGCAAAAACAATCTCGAAAGGTAAGGAAGGGCAAGTCGCTGGTCCAAAACCATCAGAGCTTGAGCCCAAATGTTCATATATAATCAAAATCCTTTAAAAAGGCCTTTCCCCTCCCTGTAATAAGCAAACTGCAAAACATCACTTCTTTCCTTTCTTAATCTGCAGAGAAATACATTTTACAGTCATTTTCTCCCCCCTCAAAAAAAAGAAGAGTTTTGCTTTCTTTTATTCTCTGCAGTTACCGGCATCTCCTGGAGCTGGTTTAATATTAGTCGGTGTTTGGGGTCTTCACAAGCCAAGGAGGTCGGTGTTTCACGTGGGAACTTCTTAATTAAAGGTTCACATGATTACAGAGCGTTTACACAGCCCCACGTTTTATGGAGCGCAACCTTAGGTTGCTTCTTCCATTCTGCAACAGCTGGCAAAGAAATATTAAATTTGCTGCACTTTAATTATATYTGTTGAGCAGTTTATAACAACCTGAGCGTTCATAGTCTGAAGTTCATCAGTCGCTGCAGCACCAACGTTAATTTTGTATTTGGTAATTAGCTTTGAGGCTTGTTATGTCTTTACAAGCTGCGATTAAGGCATTTTTTAGGCAATTTCAGAAATCAGGGAGTGATGTGAGTTCAAATGTGCCCATTTGTCATGGGAAGATGCTTGGGGAGGAGGGAATGTGTCTGAAGATGCAATGTGGAACCTTTAATGGATTCAGAACATCTCCAGCAAAGTTTGTTTTAACAAAGTTACCTCTAAAAATCATTAAAAGCACCAAGCAGACTTTGCGCCATGGGATTTTGGGGCTGTATTTCTGGCCATTTGTCTTTCAAGCATTTTTAACACTAACCCCCTAAAAGCTTAAAAAGCCCCCAAAATTTTAGCCCTACTGGTTAACCTCAGCAACATTACACCCTTTTATACATGGGAATAMAAAAAGATTGTTCCTAGATAGCTACACATCTGTTGATCTATGGAAGTTTGGGGCTAATGGAGCAAAGCACCTTTCCCTCACAAGCCTCCACAACCACCTATGTCCAAGGCCAACGGTTCCATATCCATTCGCCACTTGCAAGTTTTACTAATATGACCCTTCCAAGTATTCCAGTATGACCCACCACCCGAGCAAGATGAGCATTAATCATGACATTAGACAGACAGTCATCAGATGAGCATTTTTTGCAGAGTTTTCCCTCGGAAAATCGTCRTGTTTTTCTACTCCAGGTTCCTTCTTAGACTTCCTTTAGGTTTTGGGCGCTTTGCGCACGTTATCTTTGGCAAAGACCATCCTGATAAAGAAGGCAACAATATTACAACCAAATACAGATAGTAAATTCAGGCACTTATCTGCTTTCTATGATAAACCTCAATGTCACGTCACAAGGCCAACTCAATTGACTTTAGCGGTCAAAAGGCAAACATCGCCAGGATGAAGGGCTTTCTCCATGGATCCTCAAGCCCAGGCTATGGACAGCCCAGCAAAAGAATTAATTGTACTCCAGATGCTACAACAGGTCRGTTCAAGGAGTAAATTTGAAGGGTTATGTGATAGTTTTGCTTCAATTTTTAATGAATAGACTAAAAGAAATGTTGTCAATGTGGAATATAAGGCAAATAGAGGCAACGCTCTACAAACTTCTAAGGAAATGAAGATTCATTTTAGCTGGGCTCTGCAGAAATGTAAAGAAAAAGCGTGCATGCTTGTGTGTGTAAATAAGTCTTGGGGCCCTTGATCCATTTACTGTCATAAAGCCTCAAGTGCGTCACGAAAACATCTGAATTAATCAGGCAGCCAGAAGAGGAGATAAGGGTGAGTCAAGTCCTACCTAAGTACATTAATTATTTTTGACATTTGAGGCCAGTTGATAGTACAGATGKTTTTTTTTCTATCTTCTGCCCATTTAGCAAATTCTGAGAGTTGACCCATGAAGAAGGAAGAGTGGACAACTCTCCAGCAGTGTCGATGGAGATGTTGCATCGTGGTGGACAACCTCAAAAACTAATCTGGATAATGGGAATGCTGCCTCAGTGCTTCTGCTGAAGAATCTGTACTCATGTAAGGAGCTAAAAACTCATGAGACTGTGTCCTGCAGAGAAACACAGAAGAAATTAAAATACTGGGGRAAAAAAAAGAATATTTCAAGAGAAATGCAGCTGAGAACAAACTTCTGCAGCTTCCAACTGGTCCACTCATGAGGACCGTTCTGCAAGTTCCTAAGATGATAAGGGGGTTCATTGGTCTTTTAAGAACAAACAGTCTCCTTCTCCTCACCCTGGAATCTCTTCCACGGGCAAGAGATGCTGGAAGATATTGCCAAGGAGAACAAAATGTAAATATTTTCCCTTCCAGAACTCCAAATTTCTATCTTTATTATGAGTCCGTCAGACTCCTGACTCCTTGGGACAACTCGAGTTTTTGCCATTTTTTTTTCTTTTCCACAAGGCCAACAGAAGTTTCTTTGATCTTTCAGCCTAAAGGAATGAAAAATGACATTCCCAAGAATCTTTAACCTGTGGCCTCCACTCAAGACCTCGGTCACTATCAGCAAATTGCTCCATTGCGGACTTGACATAACACTTCATGAGGTGCCAGATGACAGAGCAGCATTTCCACCTCAAATAACCCCAAATTGTTATGTCCTCAAAGTCAGCTTTCCTACAGAGTTGGTCCCGAGGCTTCCCAACAGCAACTGCAAAACTGAATTTCACTCTTCAGGGATCAATATAAAACTCAATCCCGGGAAATGGAGCGATGATAATGACGCATCACCTCCATGGTTCAACATGCTCAAGTTATCAAGGGCTCAAGTACCAGTATTTTGCAATGTCCCCATGTTCTCCCAGGTCAGACAGGAGGATAAAAATGACTTTATTACAGCAAATCCACTTTAGATTCATGAAAATCATGTCCTACCAAGGTAACTTTATTTCTCTAGTAAAAAAGAGATGTCCACACTGCTGATGAAGCTGCAAAAATTTGGCTGTGAAAAGGTCAAGGGAGAACCTAACATGGAACCACTACTGCAAACAGTTAAAGCAAGTTGCAAATAATTAAACAAAAAGTCTAAATTCATTCACATTCTTTCTAGTGATGCTGGTGTTATCAAGAACAACATTTTAAGGAAGATTTGAGCAACCTTTAACTACCTTTCTTGCAGCTTCAGCTTATATACATATATTAAAAAAGGCTTTTTGGTATATAA